GACTCGCGTGGAGACCCATAGACTCACGCAGAGACCCATAGACTCACATAGAGACCCATAGACTCACACAGAGACCCATAGACTCACATAGAGACACAGACTCGAATAGAGACCCATAGACTCACATAGAGACCCATAGACTCACAGACACCCATAGACTCACAGAGACCCACAGACTGACGTAGAGACCCATAGACTCGCGTGGAGACACATAGACTCGCGTAGAGACCCATAGACTCACATAGAAACCCATAGACTCAAGCAGAGACCCATAGACTCGCGTGGAGACCCATAGACTCGCGTGGAGACCCATAGACTCACATAGAGACACATAGACTCACATAGAGACACATAGACTCACATAGAGTCTCATAGAATCACATAGAGACCCATAGACTCACATAGAGACCCATAGACTCACATAGAAACCCATAGACTCACATAGAGACCCATAGACTCACGTAAAGACCCATAGACTCACATAGAGACTCAAATACTCACATAAAGACCCATAGACTCACATAGACTCAAATATTCACGCAGAGACCCATAGACTCACAGAGACCCATAGACTCGCGTGGAGACCCGTAGACTCACGCAGAGACCCATAGACTCACATAGACACCCATAGACTCACATAGACACCCATAGACTCGCATAGAGACACAGACTCACATAGAGACCCATAGACTCACGCAGAGACCCATAGACTCGCGTGGAGACCCATAGACTCAAGCAGAGTCCCATAGACTCACATAGAGACACAGACTCGAATAGAGACCCATAGACTCGCGTGGAGACCCATAGACTCGCGTGGAGACCCATAGACTCACATAGAGACACATAGACTCACGTAGAGACCCGTAGACTCACGCAGAGACCCGTATACTCACATAGAGACACATAGAGACCCATGGACTCGCGCAGAGACCCATAGACTCACGCAGAGACCCATAGACTCACGCAGAGACCCATAGACCCACGTAGAGACCCGTAGACTCACACAGAGACCCATAGACTCACATAGAGACCCATGGACTCGCGCAGAGACCCATAGACTCACGCAGAGACCCATAGACTCACATAGACACCCATAGACTCACATAGAGACACAGACTCACATAGAGACCCATAGACTCACGCAGAGACCCATAGACTCGCGTGGAGACCCATAGACTCAAGCAGAGACCCATAGACTCACATAGAGACACAGACTCGAATAGAGACCCATAGACTCACATAGAGACCCATAGACTCGCGTGGAGACCCACAGACTCACGTAGAGAGACCCATAGACTCGCATAGAGACCCATAGACTCACGCAGAGACCCGTAGACTCACACAGAGACCCATAGACTCACATAGAGACCCATAGACTCGCGTGGAGACCCACAGACTCACGTAGAGAGACCCATAGACTCGCATAGAGACCCATAGACGCGCGCGGAGACCCATAGACTCACATAGAGACCCATAGACTCGCGTGGAGACCCATAGACTCACATAGAGACCCATAGACTCACGCAGAGACCCATAGACTCACGCAGAGACCCATAGACTCACACAGACCCATAGACTCACATAGAGACCCATAGACTCACGCAGAGACCCATAGACTCACACATACCCATAGACTCTCACAGAGACCCATAGACTCACACAGAGACCCATAGACTCACACAGACCCATAGACTCACGCAGAGACCCATAGACTCACGCAGAGAGCCCAATAGACTCACACAAAGACCCATAGACTCACGCAGATAGCCGTAGACTCTCACAGAGACCCATAGACTCACACAAAGACCCATAGACTCACGCAGAGACCCATAGACTCTCACAGAGACCAATAGACTCACGCAGAGAGCCAGATTCGCAGAGACCAATAGACTCAGGCAGGCACCCATTTATTTTGAACAGCTTGTTGTGTGTTGGTTTGTTGTCCTTCCCCCGCACCTCCGATTAGCGCGGTTGGCCGCGTACGGTGTGAAAGAAGTCCGACGGTAAAGATGCTGACAACGGGCAGCAGCCGACGTCATAGCCGTGCCGCGTCATAGCGTGAACATCGCGTCATAACGTGAACACCGCGTCAGAGCGTGAACACCGCGTCATAACGTGAACACCGCGTCAGAGCGTGAACATCGCGTCATAACGTGAACACCGCGCCATAGCGTGAACACCGCGTGAACACCGCGTCATAGCGTGAACACCGCGTCAGAGCGTGAACACCGCGTCATAGCGTGAACATCGCGTCAGAGCGTGAACACCGCGCCATAGCGTGAACACCGCGTCACCATCACGTCATAGCGTGAACAACGCGTCAGAGCGTGAACACCGCGTCAGAGCGTGAACACCGCGTGAACACCGCGTCATAGCGTGAACACCGCGCCATAGCGTGAACACCGCGTCAACACCGCGTCAAGACCACGTCATAACGTGAACACCGCGCGTTGAGCCTCTCCGTACAATCGTAGATGTGAGCGATTCTAGATTTAAAGCTTTCGTGACTGCAAGGATCCATACTCTTTGGTTCTATTCGGTAAAGTCACGTAGGTAAATAATAAAACAACAATAATCACGACGTTTCGGCCACAACACAAGCGGCCTTCATCAGGTGAAGGAACGAGCCTGTCTGGAGGACAGCGCTGGAGTGGAAGAAGCCACGCTTAGATCACGACCTTTAAGCTGTGTGAGAAGAAGAAGATCACGGGCTTTGACAAAGGAATTAGCATATAATTTAGCATTGAAATGGCTCATTGAAATAGCTAAGTTAAAGTATACACATCCGCAGAGGTGCCCCTTGACAAAGGAAATTAGCATAGGGGGGGGGGGGGGAAGGAGGGAGGGGGATTTTACCCGTTGATGGTGTGAAAATGGGAATTTATAAGAGCTGCGAAAGTTTGGGGTACCACTACTCGAAAAATATACTGTACCATTGAAATTAGTTTAATGTTTAGTTCGATTTAGAACATCTTTCCAATGGTTGCTTAATTTGAAACCATCCTCTCGGTTGAAATTGTGTCTGTGTTTGTAGATCTGAATTGCTTCATGAACAAATCTCTGATAAAAGCCCGTGGGTTTGCAAAGAACCTTGGTATCGGAAAAAATTATATCGTGATCCCCCACAGCGTTGTAACAGTGATCAGCTACGGCAGAAGAATTCGTTTTGCCGTGTTTCAAATCTGCAAGTCCACCGGCACGTACACCACCTCTTTGCTCGCACACAGGTCCGATGTCTGAGCGTGGTTGTGTTTCGCTAAATTCTCCTGTTTGATGAGTACTAGGTGCCTCGGTGAATGTATATGCTCTGACTTTAACATAGCTATTTCTGTGACCAGTTACTAGCTAATCACTAAACTATTTAAATGCTAAATTCTATGCTAATTTCCTTTGTCAAGGGGCACCTCTGCGGATGTGTATACTTTAACTTAGCTATTTCAATGAGCCATTTCAATGCTAAATTATATGCTAATTCCTTTGTCAAAGCCCGTGATCTTCTTCTTCTCACACAGCTTAAAGGTCGTGATCTAAGCGTGGCTTCTTCCACTCCAGCGCTGTCCTCCAGACAGGCTCGTTCCTTCACCTGATGAAGGCCGCTTGTGTTGTGGCCGAAACGTCGTGATTATTGTTGTTTTATTATTTACCTACGTGACTTTACCGAATAGAACCAAAGAGTATGTGAGCGATTCTCGCAGTGACACTCGCGAGGCGAACTCGCATAGGGGCATCTGGATTCTGGGATGTCGTCCGTAGCAGCGTGGATCGCCACCTGGGTTCTTTCGGTGAAGTCACGTAGGTGGAAAAAAATAAGAAAAACATTTTTATTTATTTCTATTTTTGTAATTTTTTTTCACCTACGTGACTTTACCAAAAGAACCAGAGAGTGTGGATACTTGCAGTCACGAAAATTTCAAATCCAGAACTGGGAACTTTGTATTTTAAATCTTTACCAGATAAGGCCCCACCGAGGTATGTGCAGGCTCTTATTCAGAAGCGACCCAGTGATAAGAGACAAAGTTACTCTAAACAAAACGCGTGACGTCGATTCTGAATGTGGAGGGGGAACCCGGAGAAAAATCCACGCGACCACGGGGAGAGAGAGACACCGCAAACTCCAAATATACAGCAGCAGCAGGCGTCAGGATCAGGATGGAACCCACGACTTCCTGTATACCAGGCGAGGTAGTTAACATCTCCAAGCCACCGTGATGATGATGAGAGTGAGAGAGAGACACGCAAACTCCAAATATACAGCAGCAGGCATCAGGGTCGGGATGGAACCCACGACCTCCTGTATACCAGGCGAGGTAGTTAACATCTAGCCACCGTGATGATGATGAGAGAGAGACACGCAAACTCCAAATATACAGCAGCAGGCATCAGGGTCGGGATGGAACCCACGACCTCCTGTACACCAGGCGAGGTAGTTAACATTTCATAGCCACCGTGATGATGAGAGAGAGACGCAGACTCCAAATATACAGCAGCAGGAATCAAGGTCGACCCCACGACCTCCTGCATACCAGGCGAGGGAGTTAACATCTCCTAGCCACCGTGATGATGATGAGAGAGACACGCAAACTCCAAATATACAGCAGCAGGCATCAGGGTCGAGATCGAACCCACGACCTCCTGCACACCAGGCGAGGTGGTTAACATCTCGCCTGAGTAACCACGCTCCCCACAATGCAAATGTGCGAGCAGCATTTTTATTAATCAAAACGTTTTTCATGTTAATGAGAGTGTTATTATTTAGAGTTAAGCGATTTCGCGTGCTAAATTTAAGTCTGTCTGGTACTGGAGCACCCACTAACTGTCTAAACTGCTCGTGTGTTTATTTATTACAATATTGAGGTCAGCAAATAAGTTCACAATGTAATTTGCCATTCTTTGCCCCTAACGCCCCCTCTGTGTGCTATAAATAAGGTCCATTGCCCGAAACGTCGACCTCTATTGGAGGTCACCCCCCCCCCCCCACCGTCTCCACGCACCGGGCCCCCTGAAAATCTCGCGAGATTTCCCCCCACCCCCAACTCTCGCGCGATCTCGCCGCTCGTCGTCATGGCGACCGCGGTCATGGCGGCGTTCTTGTCTAGGCCAAGGCTCTTGGCGGCTGCGCGGAGTCTCGGAGGAGGTAAGGGAGCGGTTACCAACAACAACATCATCAACAACATTGTCAACAACATCAACAACATTGTCAACAACAACATCGTCAACGACGATATTATCGTCGGCAGCGGTGGAGAGCCCGGCAAGCGCGCGGGCCTAACGCTGAAGCCTCGACGCCTAGGCCTCGACGCGGCCTTGCCCTCTAATAAATAAATTCCTGCTCAATGTTGTTGTTCAATGTTGTTGTTGCTGCTCGTTATTGTTGCTAAATATTATTAATCAATTTTGTTATTGTGTCACGCTTCTCGTACGTATTCGTTGTGGTTTTTTTTAATGAAGGCTTGTTTAGTGAATCTTAAATCGCTTTAACGCGCCCGAAATAACTTTTGAGATGTGTGCGCCACCTTATATGGGAATGTACTCGGTAGGCGACGTTTCGGACAACAAGCCTCCCTTCTCCGTTGTTAGGGTTTGTGTGCGTGTGGTGTGTGGTCAAGGTACTTTTGCCCGTATCGCCTTGCCACGAAGAAGGGCCGTTTCGCCTTGCCACGAAGAAGGGCCGTTGCCTGAAACGTCGCCGATTATCAAACACACGCGTTTTTATAGTGACCGTGCTGTTCATTAATGACGACCGCGTTCACTCTGTGCTGTTGTTTGCGGCTTTGCACCGCTGCTAGTCCAATCGTTAGGCAGCCCCGGGAACTTGTGCGCTTTTATTTAAATCGTCGTCTGCATTGTAAACTTAATTTCTGTAGAGCTGCTTGTTGTTGTTGTTGTGTTTAGTTTGTAGCCCTCCTCCCGCACCTACGATCTGCGCGGTTGGCTACGTACGGTTGCGAAATAAGTTCAACACGCACTACATTATACACTACACGACTATACACTACACTATACACTACATTATACACTACACAACTATACACTACGCTACTACAGACTACACTATACACTACATTATGCACTACGCTATACACGACATTATACACTACACAACTATACACTACACTACTACAGACTACACTATACACTACATTATGCACTACGCTATACACGACATTATACACTACACAACTATACACCACACTACTATAGACTACACTACACTACTATACATTACACTATACACGACATTATACACTACACTATACACGACATTATACACTACACTATACACTACATTATACACTACACAACTATACGCTATGCTACTACGGACTACACTATACACTACATTATGCACTACGCTATACACGACATTATACACTACACAACTATACACCACTACTATAGACTACACTACTATACACTACACTATACACGACATTATACACTACACTATACACGACATTATACACTACACTATACACGACATTATACACTACACTATACACTACATTATACACTACACAACTATACACTATGCTACTACGGACTACACTATACACTACATTATGCACTACGCTATACACTACACAACTATACACCACTACTATAGACTACACTACTATACACGACATTATACACTACACTATACACTACATTATACACTACACAACTATACACTACACTACTATACACCACTGCTATACACTCCAATGCATACTATACAATACACTACATACTACACTATACACTGCACTATACGACACACACAACACTACTATACACTACACTACATTGAAAACTCATTTCTTTAGAACTGCTTCCCGTGTTTAGTTTTGTCCTTTTCCCGCACCTCCGATCATCGTGGTTGGCTACGTACGGTGCGAAAGAAGTTCACCGTACGTGCCGGGCATACATTTGCTTTGTTACAAACGAGATCGCGTTTTGTACCGAAACGTTACGTGGCCTAGAGGTTTACGTCCAAAGGGGAGACGGAGCGATTATGAAATCCACTCCGAGTGTCGTTATTGTAGCACTGTAGTAGTTTGTATTCGCGTTATTGTTGTGGTTTGTTAGAGTTGCTGGTGGTATTCAATTATGCAGACGGCGAGACCCGACTTTGCCAGTGAGGATATTTGTGGAAATTCCACGTTCCTATGGCGGGGACCGGTATCGCGTGTTGTCGAGTCAAAAACTATTAGACTGATACGTCATCGGAATGTGAAATGGTTGTTAACTCAGACCGCCGACCCCCAGCTCATCCACAACCACACCCACCTGGGACCTCTCCACCCCCCCGCATCACCCCCCCCAAAGAAAACAAAGATCCCCCGTATAGCCTGTAACAGACTGCTGGGGCAAGTGCACACGAGGGGGCGGGTGGCCAGCACCACCCCCTACGCCGCCTTTGTCTCTCCAGTGGCGATGTTTACTACACACCGCACCAGCTATTAATTCGAGTGCAGTGACCTAGGGGAGACCCAGGACCGGTTCAGATAATCGTCACTGATTTTGGCCGTGAGCTGGAATCGAACTCTGGTGGGCCAGGTTTGTTGGCGCAGCTTAGCGCTAACCGCTGCACCACCGCTCCCCACTCCACCCGCACCCGACCACCAGGGCCATTCTGCAAGTCGTTGGTGTCGTACATCATTGGAACGGGAAAGGGTTATCGGCCCAAACCCCGACCGCCAGCTCATCCACAACCACCCCGGGGACCTGACCCCCTTTTGCCGCGTTGACCACCCACCACCCCACCCACCACCCCACCCACCACCACCCACCAGGGTCACGCTGGAAGTCGTCGGTGTCGTATCTGTCGCGAGCGGACTCGCCACGCCTCGCCTACTCGCTCAGCGCGGGCAAATCCCCCGGCGTGGTCTTCCTGCCGGGGTTTGCGTCCAGCATGGACGGGGCCAAGGGCACCGCCCTGCACGACTACTGCCACTCCGTGGGGCACGCGTACACCCGGTGAGGATGAGCGGGAGACGCGGGGGACGGGGGTGGGGTGGGTGAGTGGGTGGGTGAGGAGAAAGGGAGAGCGGGAGAGAGACGCTGGGTGAGGGAGGCGTGGGGTGAGGTGATGGAGGGCGAGGAGGGAGACGTGGGGGTGAGGGATGAGGAGAAAGGGAGAGACGCTGGGTGAGGGAGGCATGGGGTGAGGTGATGGAGGGCGAGGAGGGAGACGTGGGGGTGAGGTGAGGTGATGCAGGTTGAGGAGGAAGACGTGGGGTGAGGTGATGGAGGGCGAGGAGGGAGACGTGGGGGTGAGGTGAGGTGATGCAGGTTGAGGAGGAAGACGCGGGGGTGAGGGATGAGGAGAAAGGGAGAGACGCTGGGTGAGGGAGACATGGGGTGAGGTGATGCAGGGCGAGGAGGAAGATGCGGGGGTGAGGGACGAGGAGAGAGGGAGAGACGCTGGGTGAGGTGAGGTGATGCAGGTTGAGGAGGAAGACGCGGGGATTGATGAGAGAGGAAGTCGAGCGGGTGAGGGGGAGGCTTCGGTTGAGAAGGCGCTGGGTGAGCGGAGAGGGAGCGACTCGTGGCGAAGGGGGGAGACAAGCGGGGTAAGGACAAAGACGCTGGGTGAGACACGAGCGAGGTGAGGAAGGAGGAGACACGCCGGCGACGGGGCGAGGGAGACACGCGTGTCCTTGCTGGGTAGCCGTGGTGATGAAGGGTGACCGTGGTAACGTTGTCGCCGTGGTTACCAGGTTTGACTACACGGGTTGCGGAGCGTCGGAGGGGGACAGCTCCCACTGGGGGATGGGGCAGTGGAAGAGCGACGTCCTCACCGTGCTCGACCAGCTCACCACGGGGCCACAGGTTGTTTGCTCACCCATCCGCTCGCTCGCTCGCCCGGCCGCTCGCCCATCCCACCGCTCGCTCACCCCACCACTCGCTCACCCCACCACTCGCTCACCCCACCACTCGCTCACCCCACCACTCGCTCGCCCCACCACTCGCTCGCCCACTCATCCACGGACTCACTAACAAATCCACACACTCAGCCAGACACCCAGCCAGACACTCGCACAGATGCTCACCCAACAAGATGATGCTGATGATGGTTTTGATGATGGTGTTGATGATGGTGATGATGATGATGGTGATGATGATGGTGCTGATGTTGATGATGTAGGTGATGGTGCTGATGATGGTGCTGATGATGATGGTGATGATGATGGTGCTGATATTGATGATGATGGTGATAATGATGGTGCTGATGTTGATGATGTTGATGCTGATGATTGGTGTCTCAGATCCTGGTGGGCTCCAGTCTGGGCGCGTGGCTCATGGTGCTGGCGGCTGTGGCACGCCCCGAGCGCGTGGTCGGCCTGGTCGGTGTGGCCAGCGCCCCGGACTTCCTCCAGCGGGTCTACAGCTCGCTCACTGACGAGGTGAGGGCTCGCCGTCTCGCTACTCGCCGGCTCGCCACTCGCTCACCATCTCACCACTCGCTCACCATCTCACTACTCACCATCTCACCACTCGCTCACCATCTCACCACTCGCTCACCATCTCACCACTCGCTCACCATCTCACTACTCACCATCTCACCACTCGCTCACCATCTCACCACTCACTCACCATCTCACCACTCGCTCACCATCTCACCACTCGCTCACCACTCGCTCACCATCTCACCACTCGCTCACCATCTCACCACTCGCTCACCATCTCACCACTCGCTCACCATCTCACTACTCACCATCTCACCACTCGCTCACCATCTCACCACTCGCTCACCATCTCACCACTCGCTCACCATCTCACTACTCACCATCTCACCACTCGCTCACCATCTCACCACTCACTCACCATCTCACCACTCGCTCACCACTCGCTCACCATCTCACCACTCGCTCACCATCTCACCACTCGCTCACCATCTCACCACTCGCTCACCATCTCACCACTCACTCACCATCTCACCACTCGCTCACCATCTCACCACTCGCTCACCACTCGCTCACCATCTCACCACTCGCTCACCATCTCACCACTCGCTCACCATCTCACCACTCGCTCACCATCTCACCACTCGCTCACCATCTCACCACTCACCATCTCACCACTCACCATCTCACCACTCGCTCACCATCTCACCACTCGCTCACCATCTCACCACTCGCTCACCATCTCACCACTCACCATCTCACCACTCACCATCTCACCACTCGCTCACCATCTCACCACTCGCTCACCATCTCACCACTCGCTCACCATCTCACCACTCGCTCACCATCTCACCACTCACCATCTCACCACTCACCATCTCACCACTCGCTCACCATCTCACCACTCGCTCACCATCTCACCACTCGCTCACCATCTCACCACTCGCTCACCATCTCACCACTCACCATCTCACCACTCACCATCTCACCACTCGCTCACCATCTCACCACTCCCTCACCATCTCACCACTCGCTCACCATCTCACCACTCGCTCACCATCTCACCACTCACCATCTCACCACTCGCTCACCATCTCACCACTCGCTCACCATCTCACCACTCGCTCACCATCTCGCCACTCGCTCACCATCTCACCACTCGCTCACCATCTCACCACTCACCATCTCACCACTCGCTCACCATCTCACCACTCGCTCACCATCTCACCACTCGCTCACCATCTCGCCACTCGCTCACCATCTCACCACTCGCTCACCATCTCACCACTCACCATCTCACCACTCGCTCACCATCTCACCACTCGCTCACCATCTCACCACTCGCTCACCATCTCGCCACTCGCTCACCATCTCACCACTCGCTCACCATCTCACCACTCACCATCTCACCACTCGCTCACCATCTCACCACTCACCATCTCACCACTCGCTCACCATCTCACCACTCGCTCACCATCTCACCACTCGCTCACCATCTCGCCACTCGCTCACCATCTCACCACTCGCTCACCATCTCACCACTCACCATCTCACCACTCGCTCACCATCTCACCACTCCCTCACCCCCTCTCATCGCGCCCTATCCACCCCCCCGCCGCCCTACAGGAGCGTGCCGAGGCCCAGCGTACCGGAGAATTTCGCATCCCCCACTCCCCACCCTCCTCGCCCGCCCCCTCGCCCACCTCGTCGCCGTCCAAAACCCACGTCACGATCCCTGTCGCCGCGGTGGTGGAGGCCGCCAGGCACAGCCTTCTGGTAGCGCCGGCCCCGGCCCCGGCCCCGGCCGCCTCGACGGCCGACCCGGCCGCCCCGCCGCCCCCGCTGCCCCCGCTGCCCCCGCTGCCCCCGCTGCCCCCGCTGCCCCCGTTGCCCGTGCGCTGCCCCGTGCGGCTGCTGCACGGCCTCGCCGACGAGGTGGCGCCCTGGCAGCTGGCGCTGCGCCTCGCGGAGCGGCTGGCCTCCGCCGAGGTGGACGTGGCGCTGAGGAAGGGCGCCGGGCACCGCTTCAGCGAGCCGGCCGACCTGCGCCTCCTGGCCAGCACGCTCGACGACCTGGTGGACAGGCTGACGACACACACGTAGCGGGGCTGGTGGGGCTGGTGGGGCTGGTGGGGGTGGTGGGGGTGGTGGGGCTGGTGGGGGTGGTGGGGCTGGTGGGGGTGGTGGGGCTGGTGGGGGTGCGTGCACCTAGCCTGGCGCGGAGTTCCACCGGCATCGTCACCGCCGCCGCCGCCATCGTCGTCGCCGTCATCACCACCGCCATCGTCGTTACCAACACCATCGTCGTTACCAACACCAATCGTTAACCAACACCCACCATTACCATCATCGTCACCACCACCATCATCATTACCAACACCATCATCGTTACCAACACCAATCATTACCAACACCCACCATTACCATCATCGTCACCACCACCACCATCATTACCAACACCACCATTACCATCATCATTACCACCACCAACACCATCACTCCCACCATTACCAATCACTGTCATCATCACCATCATCGTCACCACCACCATCATCATTACCAACACCACCATTACCATCATCATTACCACCACCACCACCATCATTACCATCATCATTACCACCACCAACACCATCACTCCCACCATCACCAATCACTGTCATCATCACCATCATCGTCACCACCACCATCATCATTACCAACACCACCATTACCATCATCATTACCACCACCACCATCATTACCATCATCATTACCACCACCAACACCATCACTCCCACCATTACCAATCACTGTCATCATCACCATCATCGTCACCACCACCACCATCATTACCATCACCACCATTACCATCATCATTACCACCACCATCATTACCATCATCATTACCACCACCAACACCATCACTCCCACCATCACCAATCACTGTCATCATCACCATCATCGTCACCACCACCATCTTCATTACCAACACCACCATTACCATCATCATTACCACCACCACCACCATTACCATCATCATTACCACCACCAACACCATCACTCCCACCATCACCAATCACTGTCATCATCACCATCATCGTCACCACCACCATCATCATTACTTCCATCACCAATACCATCACCACCATCATACGTCAGTCACATCCTTCCCTGGCTTACACTACGTGGCGGTGATGGTGGTGATGGTCGTGATGGTGTTGATGTAGCAGAGTTACTGCCAAATTCGTTAGATTTTTACAAGGAACTTGAGCCAAAATGTGAACACTATTTGATGAAAGATTAGCGTGTGTGTGTAGTGTGTGCCTTGTATAGCATGTGTGCGTGTGTGGCTGAACACGTGTGTGTGTTGTGTCTGTGTGTAGTGTGTGTGTAGTGTGTGTCTTGTATAGCATGTGTGTATGGCCGAACACGTGTGTGTGTGTGTGTTGTGTCTGTGTGTAGTGTGTGTGTTGTGTGTAGTGTGTGTCTTGTATAGCATGTGTGTGTGTGGCTGAACACGTGTGTGTTGTGTATGTGTTGTGTGTGTAGTGTGTGTCTTGTATAGCATGTGTGTGTGTGTGACTGAACACGTGTGTATAGTGTGTGACTGAACACGTGTGTGTGTGTGACTGAACACGTGTGTGTTGTGTGTGTGACTGAACACGTGTGTGGTGTGTGTGTGTTGTGTGTGTCTTGTGTAGCATGTGTGTGTGTGTGACTGAACACGTATGTATGTGTTGTGTGTGTCGTTTGTGTCTTGTATAGCATGTGTGTGTGTGTGACTGAACACGTGTGTGGTGTGTGTGTGTTGTGTGTGTCTTGTGTAGCATGTGTGTGTGTGTGTGACTGAACACGTATGTGTGTGGTGTGTGTGTGTGTGACTGAACACGTGTGTAGTGTGTAACTGAACACGTGTGTGTTGTGTGTGTGTGACTGAACACGTGTGTGTTGTGTGTGTGTGTGACTGAACACGTGTGTGTGTGTGTGTGTGACTGAACACGTGTGTGTAGTGTGTAACTGAACACGTGTGTGTTGTGTGTGTGTGACTGAACACGTGTGTGTTGTGTGTGTGTGTGACTGAACACGTGTGTTGTGTGTGTGTAGTGTGTGACTGAACACGTGTGTGTGGTGTGTGTGTGTGACTGAACACGTGTGTGTTGTGTGTGTGTGACTGAACACGTGTGTGTTGTGTGTGTGTGTGACTGAACACGTGTGTGTTGTGTGTGTGACTGAACACGTGTGTGTAGTGTGTAACTGAACACGTGTGTGTTGTGTGTGTGTGTGACTGAACACGTGTGTGTTGTGTGTGTGTGTGACTGAACACGTGTGTGTTGTGTGTGTGTGTGACTGAACACGTGTGTTGTGTGTGTGACTGAACACGTGTGTTGTGTGTGTGTGACTGAACACGTGTGTGTTGTGTGTGTGTGTGACTGAACACGTGTGTTGTGTGTGTGACTGAACACGTGTGTGTGTGTGACTGAACACGTGTGTGTTGTGTGTGTGTGACTGAACACGTGTGTGTTGTGTGTGTGGTGTTTGTGTGTGTGTGTTACTGAACACGTGTGTGTTGTGTGTGTGTGACTGAACGCGTGTGTGTTGTGTGTGTGGTGTGTGTGTGTGACTGAACACGTGTGTGTAGTGTGTGACTGAACACGTGTGTGTTGTGTGTGTGTGACTGAACACGTGTGTGTTGTGTGTGTGTGACTGAACACGTGTGTGTGTGTGTGACTGAACACGTGTGTGTGTGTGACTGAACACGTGTGTGTTGTGTGTGTGGTGTGTGTGTGACTGAACACGTGTGTGTGTGTGTTGTGTGTGGTGTTTGTGTGTTGTGTGTGTGTTGTGTGTGTGTTGTGTGTGTGTGTTGTGTGTGTGTTGTGTGTGTGTGTTGTGTGTGTGTTGTGTGTGTGTTGTGTGTGTGTGTTGGTGTGTGTGTGTGTTGTGTGTTTGTGGTGTTTGTGTTTTTGTAGCGGTGGGGTCGCGGTTAGCGCACTCCGCTACTCAACCCGGCGACCCGAGTTCGATTCCCGCTCACAGCCAATTACAGTGGCAGGTATCTGAACCGGTCCTGGGTCTCCCCTAGGTCGACTCGGCCTCAAATGAGTACTCGGTGCGATGTGTATAGATCGCCATTAGGGAGACAAAGGGGGCCGGGCGTGGTGCTGGCCACCCACCCCCTCGTGTGCCGTGCCAGCCATTGTCGGTGCTGCTACTCGCTAACGGCACTTGCCCCTACAGTCTTAAAGCTATACGGGGGGTCTTTGTCATTGTGGGGGTTTGTACGTGTGTGTGTGTGGTAAATCTGTGTCGGTGTGTCTGTTTGTGTGTGTGTGTCTTTGTCTTTGCATCGGTGCTGCTCGCTAACAGCACCCGCTGCAACAATCTTAATGTTGTACGGGGCGAGGGGCTATCTGTGTCGCTGTGTGTGTGCGGTATGCAACGCGTCTGTGTGTATTGTCGTTTGCTGTGGGTTGACGGTGGGTTCCAAAATCTGGCGTCGCCGGTGCAAAGGAGTCTACCAAGGTGATGTAGGGTGGCGGGGTATTACTAAACTAAACCGTCTTCTTGATGTGAAGCTTTCGTGACTGCAGGAATCCACGTAGGTAGAAATAAAATAAGATGAAGCAAATCACGACGTTTCGATGGCAACGCAAGCAATCTCCCGTCAGGTGTGACAACCACAGCAAGACGAATTTGCTGAAGTGGACGAGAGAGCTGCCGTGTCAAGAGGCTACATATCCCTCCTCCCCCTTTCGTGCCGAGATAAGCCTCGTGCCACGACAGCTCTCTCGTCCACTTCAGCAAATTTGTCTTGCTGTGGTTGTCACACCTGACGGGGGAGGTTGCTTGTGTTGCAGTCGGAACGTCGTGATTCGTTTTTAGTTATTTCTAACTAAGTGACTTTACCCCAAAGAACCAGTGAGTATAAACTAAACTATGCGGTTTTTTTTTATTTTGCCAGGTAAGGCAGGCTGAGATTCGGAGCTGTTTTTCAGAAGCGGCCTTGGCCATCACAAACGATCGTCACCAACGAAGTGGCTTTTCATCGGCCCATGGGAATTCATAGCGGCCAAACGCCTCTAGAACGCATGATTCTCAATGTGGAGGGCCCGAAGAAAAATCCACGCGACCACGGGGAGAGAGAGAGAGAGACACGCAAACTCCAAATATAGAGCAGCAGCAGGCATCAGGGTTGGAATGGAACCCACGACCTCCTGTATACCGGGCGATGTAGTTAACATCTCCTAGCCACCGTGGTGATAATGAGAGAGAGACACGGAAAACTCCAAATACACAGCAGCAGCAGGCGTCAGGGTTGGGATGGAACCCACGACCTCCTGTATACCGGGCGAGGTAGTTAACATCTCCTAGCCACCGTGATGATGATGATGATGAGAGAGACACAGCAAACTCCAAATATACAGCAGCAGGTGTCAGGGTCGGGATAGAACCCACGACGTCCTGCACACCAGGCGAGGTAGTTAACATCTCCTAGCCACCCGTGGCGCCTGTTGGCCCCATGCAAGTCAGGTACGGGGAACGCCATCCAAGGCCGAGACGGATTGCGGGGTTGGAGTGATTTATTTGCGGTTCCACCATTTGTACGTCTGTGTAGGGTGTGTGTGTGTGCGGTAGTGTAACGGTTAGCGTGCTCCGCTACGAACCTGTCGACCCGAGTTCGATTCCCGCTCACGTCCTCCCAACACCCGTGAACCGGGTCGCGGGGGCCTCCCCTAGGTCGACCCGGCCTCAAATGAGTACCTGGTGTAGCGGTGCGTAGTGAACGCCGCCACTTGGGGAGGCGAACAGCACTTGCCCCCCACAAAGTGCGTTGAGGCTACCTGGGTGAATCCTTGTCTTTGGCGTGTGACACGCGTGTCTGCGCGTCTCAGTCTGTCTTGTCAAAGTGCTTTTGTCTCCCATTGCGTTACGCACTTTAACCCGCCCCTACCTCACCCGTGATACGATTCATTGTGTTCGCACGCACAGCAACCACCGCCACCACCCACCCACCCACCCCCCCCTATTACTGCCAGCAAAGCCATATATACAGGGGCGCTTCAAAAGGATGTGAACACTTACACGGGGCTATCGTTTTCAGTGGAGAAAGAACGGATGAATACATCGTAACGTGATGACAAATGTA